CCGTGTGACTGGCGCGCTAGGGGCTGAGACTGTTTTAACTCCTGGGCTTGGCGACCTGAGAGGGGCCATGGCGGCGGAGGTGTTGCCGAGCGCGAAGTGGCTGTACTGTGGGGAGCCCGACGAAAGCCAGAGAGCTGTCCTGGGTAAAGACTGCGGAGCTGGAGCAGAGCCCCCCATGACTCCCCTTTCCGTCTCGGTACCTTCAGAGCCCTCCCGCCGGCCCCTTTCCCAGCTGGGCCAAGACTCTTCCCCCAAACCCCCAACCCCCAGCCCCCATCCACTGCCCCCCATCCACTGCCTTAGTGCCCACCGCTACTTGGGTGTCGGCCAGAGCTCCTCCGTCATCCCACCATCTTTCTGTTTCCACCTTATACCTGGATGAGGACATCCCAGTCAACGCCCTCCCCAGGGATTTACTCAGGATTTTGCCATGCTCTCATTCACGAGGTCTTAGAACTGCTGCATTTCCTCATCTCCACTGGGCAGGGATACCCCCCTGTTTCTCTAGGTCTGGACGAGGCCGCCTCAGTCTGCCCCTTCCCCTAGTTATTCCTCATGTCGCAGCCCCTCCACACTCCCCTCACCTCCCCATCCCCTCTCCCCCGTGGACCAGGGGCTCCTTCAGTCCCACTTCCGGTCGGGACCTTGCCATCCTCACCCTCCCATCACTCCTTCCCACGCACAGCCCAGTTCCTCCTCCCCATTCTGCAGCGTGGTTCTTTCTGATCGCATCTCATTCTTGGGCTGTGACCTTACAGTTCAGTTCTCCAATGGGAAGCTGCAGAATCCAGATAACATGCGCTTCAGCTTGTACAAGAACAAGGACTCCACCAATCCCAGGAAGAAGAGCCAGCGGATCCTGGTGAGTGCTGCAGTGGCCAATTGCCTCCACTCTGCAGGCCTCCGTAGGCCTCCTGGGTGTGGTGGATGTGGGAGTGAGTGAGAGGAGAAAGCGGGGGGATAGCAACGGTGCCTTTAAAGAACTCTTCTGAGCCTCAGCAGGTTGGGGTGTGGGGACAGGTTCCATTCAGTTTCGTACTTTTGGTGAACTGATGGCCTTTCATTCGTAAGTTCATTCAGCAGCATTTATTGAGCACCTTCTGTGGCCCTGTGCCCTAAGCTGCTAGGGAAACAGCTAAATCAGACCTGGCCCCACTCTGTGGGTTTCTCAACCCTGGCGATATTGACATGTTGACCCAGGTAATTCTTTGTTGTGGGGGCAGCCCTGTGCATCATAGGATGTTTAGTAACTTCCCTGGCTTCTACCCACTGTATGTCAATAGCACCTCCTAGTTGTGACAACCAGAATGTCAGACATTCCCAGATGCCCCTGGAAGGGGGATTTCCTTGGGTTGAGAACCACTGCTCTAGAGAGTTCTTTGAGATTTTACCACGCATGGTATAGAGAACTCTAGAGAGGTGAGAACTGGATGCGAGGGGCACTCATGCAAGTAGACAAAGCTCAGGGCCCGAGGGAGGGAAGGTACAAGGCAGAGTCTAAGTCTCGGCTGGCCAGAATGTCTTCCTGGGGAGGGTACATGGAGCTGAGCTCTGAAGGATGGAGGAGGGTTTGACAGTTGAGGCTTAGTATTCCAGGTGAAGAGGATAACAGAACGGACATAGAGAAACAGCAAAGCTTGGCTGTATTTGAGGAGTGAATTGTGGAGCTGAGCTCTGAAGGATGGAGGAGGGTTTGACAGCTGAGGCTTAGTATTCCAGGTGAAGAGGATAACAAGAACGGACATAGAGAAACAGCAAAGCTTGGCTTTATTTGAGGAGTGAATCAGCCATTTCCATGGTCCTACTAGTAAGAGCATATAAGGAGCAATCGTGGGAGAGGTGGGCAAATAGGTTTAAGAAGGGCTTGGACTTCCAACCCTGGAGGTTGCCTGCAGGATCATTTGATTGCATGTCTGTGAGTGAGGGGAGCCCAAGTCCTGTGGTGCAGATTCCCCAAGAACTTTTCAGACCAACTAGAAACCAGCACTGCCTGGGGCTTCCTTTCCTAGATTCCTCTTGTCTTTCCCTCACGGGCACCCAGATTTACTGAGCGATGGTGGGGCTCGATCGTCTCTCAGAGCGTCTCTAGTGCTAATCCACTGTTTGGACTCTAAAGCTTTTGGCAAATGTGGGAAAGAGGTAAGATGCTTAATACCTTTCAACATTGGTTGTAATGGAGCTTTTCTCTGCGTTTTAGGCAGCTGAAACAGACAGACTTTCCTACGTGGGAACCAATTTTGGAACTGGAGCACTCAAATGCAACACTCTGTGCAGGTAGGGACAGGGGACGGGGCAGCTGGAAGGGGAGAGGAGTGACAGTGGCCCTGGCACTGTGGTTCTCAGCCTTTAAGGGCAGTGGGAGGTCTAGAGAGGTTTACCAAGTTTCTTTGTTCCCAGACCCAGGGGCCCTCACACCAGCATGTAGAAGTTCTTTTATTTATTTATTTATTTATTTATTTTATGTAGCCGTTCTTGAAAAGAAAGTTGACTTGCATTTGTTGAATTTCCTAAAAACCTCATTTATTTGTAGTATTCTTAAATTTTTTTTAAAAAATTATGATATAATTGACATATTAGTTTCAGGTATACAACATAATGATTAGATATATATATAATGAAATGGTCACTTAAATAAATCTAGTTAACATTCATTCACTACACATAGTTACAAATTTTTTTTCTTGTGATGAGAACTTTTAAGATTTATTCTCTTAACTTTCAAATATATAATACAGTATTAACTACAGTCACCATACTGTACATTACTTCCCCAGGACGTATTTATAATCTTGTTTCCAAAAGGCAGCTGTCTTAGCTAATACGGAATGTATGATGATTATTGCCAAAAATTTGCTTTAGGACTAACTATAGGGAAAGGATTTGGTAGTGTCAAAGGCTCTGGGGTTTCTGTCTAGCACTGCCTGCTGCTGATTGGCTGACTTTGGGCAACTTTGCCCTTCATTGCTCCCAAATCTCTCCCTGCCCCATGCCCCCCACTCTCCTACAATGACGATTGCCCAGCCTGAACAGTCTATAACTGGGTGGGGCTGGCATAATGCAGACAGTGTCGCTATGACGGTACACAGCAGTAAATCACAAACAAGGCCCTTTCAGAGCCCCACTGAACCAGCCTGGTAGAAGTCAGGTTAATGAGTATACGCTTAAAACTGTTAACACTGCATCATCCCTTTACAAAGATTCTCTAGTTCAGACTGGTCTGCTTCCCACAGTCACCAAGGCTTTACTTGTCTTTGCCTCCATAAAATTTATGTGTGCTGTAAATTCTAGTGTAATTCTGCATTCTTACATCCCAAAAGGGCTTGCCACTGCAGCAGTGAGCCCAAATGTGATCAGCTACCAGAATCACCTGTCGCTTTTCCCCCCCAGAACCACATCATGAACCCTCCCCATGCAGAGAATGGCTGCTGGGGGATTATTGTTTCTTCTGAGCAAGTGGTGCATTCCTCAGGTGTACTGGGGCAGAAAGAATGTTGAGAACTTTTAAGCAGCGAAAGGGAAGTTGTATAAACAATACCATTTGAATAACCCATTGTCACTGGTATTATTCCTTCTTTCCTCAGACACTTTGTGGGAATTTTGAACAAGACCTCTGGCCAAATGGAAGTATTTGATGCTGAATTATTCAACATGCAGCCACTGTTTTCAGGTAGGTCCCAATCAGGGCTCAAAGAAATGCTGCATGCTTTAGGTTTGCTGGATGCATTGGTTTGAGTTTTTTATTGTAAAACACATTTTATAGTTATTTTTAAAAGGGCGCCTTTCTGTTAGTTTTGTTTTTTATTTGAACAAGTTTTTGGTTATCCTCATTGGAGGATATTTTTTCCATTGATTTTTAGAGAGAGTGGAAGGGAAGGAGGGAAGGGAGCGATGGGGAGGGAGGGAGACAGATTGGTTGCCAAACACACGTGCCCCAATTGGGGATTGAACCTGCAATCTAGGTATGTGCCCTGACCGGAATTGAGTTGGCAACTTTTTGGATGATGCTCTTGAGTTCCAAAGCCCATCTGTGAGTTTCCTAGGGGACCATAGTCTCTAGGTTAAGAATTCCTTGCTTTGCAAACAACTGTAACTATATTTAAAATATCCAAATGCTCTTCTTTTAAGGATGCAAAGAAACTTATTCATTAACTTGTTGATTAAACAAATCTTTATTTTGTAAGTAAGAAATTGTAAATATTGGTTTATTATATCCAGCATATTGACCTGGGGCAAGCCATTTAATGTGGAGGCCTAATTTTTCCTTATTGAAGAGGCTGGACCAAATGGCCCCTTCATTTGACTCCTTAATTCTCCAAATTTCCTCAGTGTATACTAAAGCTATATACTAAATGTTCAGTATACACTCATGTTAAGCTCTGGGAAGTCCTGGAGTAAAGAAATCTGTTTTTCTTAGATGAACTGTTAAACAGATGAATACCAAGCACTACTGCTATCTGTAGGCTTTTCAGTTTGCTTTTCACCCCTGTTTTTGTTTGTTTTGTGTTTTGATAGATGAATCAGTGGAGAGTGAATTGACACCAGACAGTGAGAGCAAAACTTTTAGAGATAAGGTAAGTGTGATGGAACTGAGACGTGGGACGTTAAGTAAGTTCCTTCTAGGCCCTGGGTAAGGATTTCTCCATCAGTAAAATGAGCTGGTTGAACACAGTGTTCCCTCGCTGCTCCCAGCTCATTCATTCTGGGGTTGTCTGGACAATTTTATATCTGCACAAGCCTCATCAGCCTCATAGGGAGCAGTCCACCTATATGGGGTAGCTCTACATGGCTCTGTACCAATCAATGTTTTGAACTGGTTCTCTGAGCTGATAGAGGTGTAGCATAACACATGTTTAAAATTTAATACAAGTTTCAGAGAATATTGGTTGTAGCCTGGATATTTTCATATTAAAACAAAGTAAACTTTAGGATTTTCAATGTAGAATGTTCCTAAAAAGCTCATCTCACCCCAAGATGGCAAATGGATTGCATCTGCAGTGCTGCCTGGAGCACTGTATTGAGAAGGGGTGTGAGGCTACCTTCTGGCTCAGAGGGAAAGATTGAGTGCTCTGTTAGCAATAGCTGTTATGGGTGTAGGATTGGAAAAATGTTAAACTGCATGCCACAGATTTATCAACCCTAATTCTAGTCAAGTCTTTACATTAAAAAATATATGTATTTTTTTTATTGAATTTTAGAGAGGAAAGGAGAGAAAGAGAGAGAAACATTGATGTGAAAGAGAAACATCAATTGGCTGCCTTCAGTACAAAGTCCAACTAGGAATAGAACCCACAACCTGTATATGTCCCCTGACTGGGCATCAAACCAGTGACCTTTCAGTGCATGGTGCATGGGGCGGTGCTCAACCAACTGAGCCACACTGGCCAGGGCAAGTCTTTACATTTTACAGATGAAGGCTGTTGATTTGTATATGGCCCATTCCTATTTACTAGTACAAAGCAAGTTCTTCAGATCTGTTGATATCATTTGATTCTTATAACAGCTATAATTCAGCCCAATCTATAGGCTCAGAGAGGCTGACAGTTTCCGATAGTCACATAGCTAGGAGGAGCAGTGCCTAGCCTGACCCCAGTGATCAAATTTGTCTCTTGCACAGATGGACTCTTGCATTGAAGCCTTCGGTACCACCAAACAGAAGCGGGCTCTGAACTCCAGGAGAATGAACAGAGTTGGCAATGAATCTTTGAATCGTGCAGTAGCTAAAGCCGCAGAGAGTATTATTGATACAAAGGGTGTGACCGGTAAGCATCTGGAACTTGGGGTAAGAATCTGCTCACAGAGACAGTTTTCTCTTCTCTTGAGATCTTTTCCCCGCCCCAGTAGATGGAAATGATGGGGGTTAGGGCTGGATTTCTTCCTGTCTCTCGCTGAGGGCCATAGCGGGAACCAACTCAGGAGGTACTAAGAAACATCTGATGTGGCCTGCTCTCAGGGAGCTCACAGTCCTGGAGAGGAGACAGGCCAGGGAATGGGTATGTGCACACTCTTCCTTGGTGCCGGGGTTACAGCCTGCAGGGCACAGAGGAGAGAGAGGGCTTCAAGTCTGTATTGGTCAGTAAGGCTGGTGTGATGGTGAACTGAGCCACTGGAGACAGTGTTTCACTTTGGGGTCAGTGGTTTTTTTTCTACTAAATTCCTTAGAAGCTTGAATATATAATTGTATTATTTTAAAAATATATTTATTGTTCAAATACATTATACGAACATAAGAGAAAGTTTACATAAGAGCAGTTTTTCTATTAAAATGGAATTTCAGTAATTTTGGGGAAATCTTTCCATACCCTATAATAATAGAAATATTTTCCATGTTTTTGTTCATACTTTCATAATTTTATTTTTGCGTCTAAAGCTTAATGAAGAATATTTTTTGGGGGCATATGGTATAGACCTAATTTTATGTTTTCCAAATGATTAGCTAGTCCCCAACTCCATCCTTTCTTTGCAAAAGCGAATTTAAGGCTGTTCGCCTGCAATGCTCCCGGAGCTATGGAAGCATCGAGCTCCCTGCTGCCGGCCCTCCGCCTGCCACCACCATGCCCTAAATTAAAAGTCAAGTTTATCATTTGCCACATTCTGAGTTGTGTTTTGTCCCAGCATTCCAGCGGGCTCTCGATTATAGTGGCCTCCTCATCTGTTTATTGTCTGACAGGGCAAATTCATCCTCCCCCACCTCCTTATTATTCTTAGTTGCTGGAGCAGGCTTTTTCTTCCAGGCAATCTTAAAGATTCTTTTGTCAAGTTCCTTCAAAATACAGTTGGGATTAATATGGGGAGAATCAACATCTTTACAATATTCTATTTTCTCATCCAGGAATACAGAAATATGTCCCTCTGTTCATTCAAAGACATATTTTAACGTCTAAGTAAATTTTTGAATATTTTTGTTCAGTTTACTTTCAGCTATTTAAGGACATTTAAAAAGAAAAATAATTCACCTATTTTCTCATCATTCTACCAGAATAACTGTTACAATTTTCCTGTTTTCCTCTCTGTCTTTGTCTATATACATACTTAATTTTTACATGGTTATTTCTGTGTGGTAGTTACAGTTTTAGAATTTGACTTTTTAAAATAATATGTAGAGATATTTTCTGGAAGTTAAGCCATCAAAGGCTACTGTTTTACTATCCCTCACTTTTAGTTTCTCATGTTGTATTATAAATATTAGCTCACCTCTCTCCTGACTGTCCTGCAAGTTACTTGAGGGGACACCACGTGGATACACCTTCTCTAGGGCCCAGTTCGGTTTGTGTTATGAGTGGACATCGTGGTGCTGGAGCTGTCAGCCTGATGGGAGATCTGGCCTCATTGGCGGGAGCATTCAGATTAGAGGTTTCTGGGCTGGTTATGATCCTTTGTGCACAGGTTGCAAAGCGTGTTGGGGGATCTGATGCTTAACAGGGTGATACTCACACTTACTCTTCCCTTATTGAAAAGCTCTGGTCAATGATGCCCTCCACGATAACTTGCAAGACGACTCCCTCTGCCTTCCTCCCTGCCACGCGGATGCAGCCAAGCCTGAAGACGTGTATAAATTTGAAGACCGTATCCTTCTTCTGGTGGAAATGCTACCTTATTTCATAAGTTAGAGTGTGCGCACGTGATGGCACAGCCAGGCTCTCTGAGGGGTCAGTGGTCCCATATCACTCACAGAAGCTACATCCTGAGCTTTGCAGTTGCCCAGTGCTGTTGCTGGGAAGTCAGCTATGCTTCCTGACTAGCTGAGGGTCCTGCTCCAAATCAGCTTCTCAGCCCCTGGGATTCAGACCCATTCCTCAGCAAAATGCCAAACATCCACAGCTCAGCCCTGTGGGGATCACTCTGAATAGTCCAAATATGACTTTAAGTCAGCCAATGCCCAAAGTCTAGGGCAGACTGGTTTTGTAAAAGGAAGGATTGAAATGTAAAATTCCCTACTTGTGGGTCCAATGAGATGGAAAATGCTTACAGTGGCTTTGTGTTGAGAAGGCAGGAAAGCCCAGACAGGGAATGAGGTCTGGGCTGGGAGCCTGGAGAGCTGAGTCCCTGAGCTCTGCCCCGAGTGCTGTGTGATCTTCCCCTCTCTGAGCCTCAGCTTTCCCACCTCTAAAGTGAGGCCTCTAGAAGACGATCTAGCTTTATAGATGTTTCCATCTTGGTCAGATTGTGCTCTTGACCAGTAACTGGTTCTTTCCCCTGCGGAGTATGACGCTCTTCGGAGCCCATCTGAAGCTTTCAGGAATGTCACATCAGAAGAAATACTGAAGATGATCGAAGAGAACAGGTACTCCGACTTGGGCGGATGGAGTGTCTGAGGGAGTAATGTTGGGACACAGCAGTAGTCAGACATGAAGCAGCCCTTTGGGTATCAGTCGTTGAGGATCACTGTGTGTTCAGCATTTGAACATGAACGAGCCAGTGTTTTCAAGAATGTTTGGGCTTCTAGACCGGTAGTCCCAAGGCTGTGGATGGCATTCAAGGGAGAGAGTTGGCCTCTGAGTGCATGGAACTTGTGGCTGCGCAGAGGGTGGCGAAGCCTTATAGTTGGGCTGGGAGCTCGAGATGGACTGTATCCCCCAATGTTATGCTTGGCATTGATTGTCTCTGGGGAGCCCAAGTGCTGGCCTGAGAGTATATGTGAGGGGTACCAGGTGTGAGGGGTGCCTGCTGTTCTGATTGTGAGGGGTGAATGGCTCCTGACAGAGCTGGTCTTACAGCACACATTCTCCCCTTCCCCTCCCTTGTTTTAGCCACTGCTCCTTTGTCATAGAAGCGTTGAAGTCCTTGCCATCAAGTGAGGAGAGCCGAGACCGCCAGGCCCGATGCATATGGTTTCTGGACACACTCATCAAGTTTCGAGCACAGAAAGTGATTAAGCGGAAAAGTGAGTCCATGTTAGACGTTTGATTTTAGTTATTTCCAGTTTGTTATTTGCCTATAATTCTTAGACCAGAAGAAAATGGGAATGTGGGTCGGGTGTTTATTTTTAACGGTGTCACAGTGAGATTCCTATTGGTACAACTGACATGCTGAGAGGACTCTGCAGGCTCTTCATCTCCACATGGGGACAGGATAGGTTATGTGATTGTTCAGAACTGACATTCACTTCTGTTCTGCATGAGGCAAAATATACTATAGTATCAAGTGAAATTATAAGGGACTGTTAGACAAACATCAAAGAGGGTGAAAAGTTGGCCTTGCTCATGAAGGCTTATGACTAGTTTGTGTTGTGTCAGCTTATTTCTGACTGGGAGAGGAGAGAGATGTACTTGTAACCCCAGTGTCCCCTACGGCTAGAGCCATGGCTGCCACATCCATCCATCCATCCATCCAGAGTAGGAAAGGCAGCGGGAGGCACCTGGGGTTTTAGGTACAAGGTGTGTGCAGTTTTATTTCTGAGATTGGGCATCGGAGAGTCTGTTTGTTTTTCTGTACTTGGTTAATTCTTATGTTCACGTTCCAATCTCCCCTGCTTTCCCTCTCCCTGGGCTTTCCCTACCATCTACTTTGTTTACATTTTATGAATTCTGTGTCTTTAGGCCTCATTTTTCTTTCTTGTTGTCGCCCCTTCACAAAGGTCTCTTCGGCAGTTTCATTTGACAGGAGCATATTTTCATTGGAAACTGGCCATTTTGTTTTGAGGGCCCTGCTTCTCTTGCCACATGGCTTTGTTAATAACACTGGCGAATTGTTGGCTTCCTCTCCCAGCTCATGGAGGACATGTGGCCTGAAGGTTCTGACAGAAAATGATCCAACTCCTTTGTGTTGTAGGTGCCCTGGGACCTGGAGTTCCACACATCATCACCACCAAACTGCTGAAGCACTTCACCTGCGTGACCTACAACAATGGCAGGTCAGGGGGGTGACCTATTTGGCTTCTGCCAGTAAAGGAGAGAGCAGATTTGGGGGGGTGGGGAGAGTGGGGAGTAGGAGCTTGGGTGAAGGCCACATCCACAGAGCTACTGTGCTGAGGAGAGCACTGCCATTTGGGGTGGTCCTGGGTCAAGTAGGTTTAGGAAACACTATACACTACGTGCCCTCCTCCCCTTCGGAGAAGTTCACTTCCCTGGGGGATGTCCAGCAACAAAGACTAACTTCACTTGACACACTCCTTTCAGGGAACCCTTCTTAATGTCCCACAGAACTGGTGTTCTGTGGAAAGGCAGTGTTGCAGGAGAGGATAGGCCTATGTGGTGATTTTGGGAAGGATCCCCAAGCAATGCACCTGGGTTTCCGTCCGGCAGTTTGCTTGGAACGTGTTTCCTGCTCTGAGTGTGCTTGGAAGAATCATCAGCAACTGAGTGTGGGTGACTACTTTCCTGGCAGCTCTGCTGAGCAGGCAGGCAGACGCGAGGGTCTCTCACTGTGCTTGGGGTGGTAGGTGTGGCCTTCTCTGTCCCCCTTGGAGGGAGCACTGGGATTGGCTCACTGTTCTCTTGGGCACCTTGAAGGACAAGGAGTCGCTCGAATTCATTTCTTCTCCCCAAGATGGGGAAGACATTAAGTACCTATGGGAACGGGTCTGGATGGTTTTATTTTGCTTTTGGAGAAATCATCTTCAAGTTTAATTTTTGGTCTCTTTTATTGTCACTGATTTTGCAGTTTACGCAACTTAATTTCCGATTCCATGAAGGCAAAGATCATTGCGTATGTGATCGTACTCGCCTTGCATATAAACGACTTCCAGATTGACCTGACATTGTTACAGAGGGACCTGAAGCTCAGTGAGAAAAGGTGAGCACACAGAATGGAAAGCTCGTTGGGGTGCCTTGCTGTATTCCTAGTGCTGCCGGAAAGCACGAGGCTCCATCAGGAGAACTGGGGACATTTAGTAGGGAAAAGACTTGGGACTAGAGGACAGTTGTCAGTGAATGAATGATTGTAATAGATGAGGTCACACAACCCAGAAGGGGAATTGCTGGGCTTCAGACCTGAGCCTTCCCACGGCATTCTGTCCCTGTGTAACCAGGCAGCCTCCGGTCTCCAAATACCTTTCTCTGGGAGATTCTGTATGGTCCTGAGGGCGGAACCCAGGGGTGGAAGTTACAAGAACCCAATTTCATCTTAGCAAAAAGACCTTTCTCAGAGTCAGATGGAGGGGCTTCCAGGTGGTGGGGCCGCGGTTTGGCAGGGATGTCACACTGCGGCTGCTCTTACTGGACTGGGAGAGTTGGCAGAGATGACCTTTCAGAAGGGATTCAGACTGAGTAGGAGCAGAATTCCCAGGATTCCAAATGATGGAACCTGTGGGGGCATCTGACCCCCAAGGACCCTGATGTTCAGGAGAGCCTGTAAACACCTGCCTGGGCCTAGCAGTCCATAGAGGGATTATCCTGAGGGCTGTCCACCGGTGTTGCATTCTCACCGGCAGTGATGGTGCAAATCAGAAGGTACTTAGAGGCTGTTTCAGCACACTTCTAGCAAGTGTTCAATCCTGGTTGTAGGCAGTAAACCAAGTTTATTAACAGGAGCAAGATAGAGAACCTGGGTTGTAATCACCTATAAGGTATTTTCTAACGGCCACACATGAAAATGAAATTGTCCGTTTGAAGGCTCTCGGGGATCTCATCTGCCTCTCGTGGGGGTCACTTTGGGGATCTGTCTTCATAGCCTGGAGCACCAATCCGCCGCTCCCCTGCCCCCCTCCCTGAGCAGTGACATTGAGGCGACTCCATTTATTTTGTGTGTGTTCCTCAGGATGCTCGAGATAGCAAAGGCCATGAGGCTGAAGATCTCTAAGCGAAAGGTGTCTCTGGCAGCCGGCGGGGAGGAGGAGCACAGACTGGGTACTCTGTGCATCCCGCTGCCTCCAGCCCAGACCTTGGACCGCCAGTCAAAGCGGAGGAGACTCACGTAGAGGTGTGCTTTCCAGACAGAAGCGTGGCCACATAATAGCCACTTCCTCTGTTCATTTCCATTTTCATTTTTTAAAAGGGGGGAAAGAAGCCTTGCTCTGGCATGGGTATGAAGCCACAAGCCAGCCTCTCAGTCATGCTTGTCTTAAGCAAAAACATAAAGTGACCATCATATTGGACTTTGTCTCCCTCCTTCAGTGTTGCTGTGATGATAAATGGCAGATGGTTCTTGTGTTGTTTCACATGTGGCGATGTGGGAGGTGGGGCTTGGGAAGCCAGAGCCAAAAGATCTCACAGGAAACAAATTGTACCACATGATCTTAAGAAGGAAGGAGTTGAATACATGGGTAAGCTGTAAAGTTGTTAAAGGGGTGCAGGAGTGGGAGTCAGGAGGTTGCCATCAGAAGTGCTCAGTTCAGAACACACTGCTGGGTTGCCGTCCAGGCATCAGTAAACCACTCTGCCCCACAACTGCTTGAATTCATGAAGCTGTGACTGGACCCCGAGTTCAGCCACCCGTGCTTTTAATACCCACATTTCCACCCCCTTGCTGGTCAGCACAAGTAACCAAAAGATCAAGAAGCTGGTTTCCATGTTGCTTCCTTCTGTGAGTGCTTATGTAGGAACCTAATTTGCATCCAGAATCCTAGCAGCAAGGGAGTCTTGGAAATAGGTTTCAGCTCTCCAGCTTCTGGTTACAGAAAAGCGTACCTGAAGGAGACGGGAATGGATTCTGACTGCCAACAGCCTGTCCGCCCCGGGGGAGATGGAGAAGTCAGTGTCCTGAGGGTGCTGTGAGGAACGGGAATGTGATATGGAGGCTTGGGAATGTGGCTAACGTGCAGACTCAGATCTTCAAGGCTCTTCTGGGAGCAGCTAAGGTTGGTGGTGCCCAGTGCTGGGGAGCGAGAAGCAGTGAAGGAAGGCAGACAGAATTCATCTCTGAAAATGAGAAAGGGGGAAGTCTATGCAGCAGCTGGGCCATCCATCAGGGAAGATGGTGGAAATGAGTCTTAGGTGACTCACTTGACAGGTGGTCCTTGTATTTCTTCGAGCTCTGGGATGCTGTTACGAGAGCCCCTTCTGGAGCGAGGCCATGCCGACTGTGTATTTTTCATGCTCTTCTCCGGTTTGTCTCATTCGTGTCTGATCCTAGGTAGTGGGCATTTGTAGCATATGTTGTCTCCTGCAGAGGTGTGAGCAGGCAATCTAAATGCCTCTTGTGTTTCCTGATCTAACCTGTTGTGAAAATCAAGTATGTGACTCTGCATTCCCTGATCTGCCTCTGGGAAAAGAACTAATGTGCTTATAGGGTAGAATGTATTTTCATGAATGTTTTTTAGATTCTGAGGGGCTGTCACTTGGAATTTCCAGGAATGATTGGGTCACAGCATGTAACCAGGCCTCTGAACAACCTCTGTCCCAGAGGAAGCAGCCTGTCTTCAGTCACACACAGAGCAGTGGTATCGATAGGGAAGAGTCTAGGATGGCAGGTACTCGTCCTGGGTGACAACAGGTGTAACCTCACTAAATGTAGGCGGTGCATTCCCAGAGGCTGAAAAGCACATTTCTGTATATAAGGGGCTTGTGGGTTAAAAGGCTCAAGAGGGTCCTTGTTCAACTTGAACTAGTCTCCTGAAAGCAGCTAGCACAGTGCCTGATGCAGGCAGTGTATGTAGAATGAGTCATAGTTCATGAACTGCACCTTCTTTTCTTGGCAGGGCTATTCGGGGGTAAATTTGTTTACTAATACATTCACAGTGGATACCTTGATCTCACCAAGTGTTCTGCCATAAGGTCTCCTGCTGTCCTCTTTGAAGAAAGGGAGGCTGTGGGCTAGAATCGTACCCTTAATAAGACTTGCAGTTTGTGGCATAATCTTAACCTACAGGTGTTGGCTAACTGTAGACGTCCTGGAGGAAGGTCTCTGCCTGTGGCCCTGACTTATTGTACATTGTTAACAGGGATGAGATCAAAGAGGATATATTCAACACACTGGCAGAGGACCCCTTTAGTGTCTTTTAAAAACTTTATTTTGATATGTCATACTTAGAAAACAATTGCAAGAGTAGTACAAAGATGCCCTAACCGGTTTGGCTCAGTGGATAGAGCGTCGGCCTGCGGACTCAAGGGTCCCAGGTTCGATTCTGGTCAAGGGCATGTACCTTGGTTACGGGCACATCCCCAGTGGGGAGTGTGCAGGAGGCAGCTGATCGATGTTTCTAACTCTCTATCCCTCTCCCTTCCTCTCTGTAAAAAAAAAAATCAATAAAATATATATTTTTTTAAAAAAGAGTAGTACAAAGAACTTCTATATATCTTTACCCAGATTCTCCAGCTGTTACTGTGGTGTCCAGCTGTGTGGGAGAGCAGGCCCTGCCCAATGAACCAATGAGGCTACTGCAGAGCATTCTCAACTTCCCGGTTATTCCCCAACCACACAAGAGCTGGGATGGGTGTTCTGGTCCACTACTGCCTCCAGGCGACTTGGAGGACCTGGTGTGTCTCAGCTGTTCCTTTTTCTGCTACCAAAGCCCTAGGTAACACCTGTCCTACCTACGCGCTCTTAACATTTGATATAGTGAACTATCACCTCCTGGATCTTAACCAGCATCACCACTCAGGGCCTCAATCCCTTCTGTTAAAAAATGGGGCAATAACTTCCCGAAGTCGGTGTGTAATGTACTGCAGGTGGAACAGGAGGTGGTTTTAGTGGCACAGGGATATATCAAAACACAGGTGTACGCTGGTTAGACTAAAGGGCAGCAACAGATTCCCCCAAATGTCACGTTTCAACAAAAGGTTTACTTGCTTGGGGGATTGCGAATATCTTTATAGTCTGTTTTAGTATGAATTAGAAAACACTAGCTTTTCATTTATAAGTAGTGATGCAAACATTTCTTTTTAGTTCAGCAAAGTTAAGTGTCCTGGATAGGATCCAGGAATGGAAAAAGGACATTAGGGAACTAAAAAAATCAGAGAAAACCATAGACTTTGATAAATAATAATGTGTTCAATATTGGTTAATTTTGACAAATGTACCACACTAATGTAAGATGTTAGGGAAACTTGGGGAGGGTAATATGGGAACTCTGTACTACCTTATCTGCTCACTTTTTCTGTAAATTTAAAACTCTTCTTAAAAAAAGTATTTAAAAAGAGGGTTTAAAGAAGAATATTAAGTATTAACTTTCTCCTCTGGTGACATGTGGATATAGCAAAAACTAAGATGCTGAGTAACTGAAGTTGGGAGAATGTGTTCCTGGGTCTGCCCACACCCGGGACTGCTACTGTTGATCTTCACAAAGCCCAAGGGCGGGAGGCAGGGCTGTAACACCTGCCCCCCCTGCCCCCCCCCCCCCAAGCAATGCACCAGGAAACAGACCTTGAAACCTGGAAGGACAGGGTGGGCCTGGGATTCCATTCCATCCCCTTCAGAGGAAGCCTCGGGAAGGCGAGCGGTGCAGTCTGCATCCAGCATCCAGCTGCCTGGGAACTCCAGCATATATCCAACCAAGGAAAGTCCCCCAAAATTCCCTCTTTTAAAATATAGAACTTTATTTTAGTTGCTGAGATTTTCATAAGCGCTTGGTTCACAGAAAAGTCATTTCTTACAAAATAATAAAGGCAGCATTTTGTACAGCGACTCACATTGGGGCCACCAGAGAAGTGCAAAGGACAGAGGGGATGGAAGAGGCCAGCGCTCTTGTGCCTAAAGTCCTCAAGAAGCCCGTGCTCCTGGCTCCCTCCAGCCCCCTCCCATCCTACCTGGGACCTGGGAGAGCAGCACCGAGGGCCTGGCAGAAGTAGCCTGGGAAGCCATTGGTGAGGTGCACGACAGCGACCCCAACAGGCTGGTGAAGGCCTGGCATGAAAGGCCGAGTGGGAGGGGATTGTTCAGGTACAGAGGCTCCTGCATCCAACCCCGTTTCTCAAGCAGCCAGGGCAGGGTCTGAGCCCGCCTAGAACCTTGACACTCACAGTACGGCTCAGTGAAGCCCTTTGGGAACTGGCCTTCCTCTGCCCACTCAGGCTACAGACCCTACCCCAGACCTAGGCTGGGTACTGGGAACAAAGACAGTGAGATGGGGCCTATGCAGGTGAGTGGGACGGGGATGGACCTGGAGAACACCAGGCGGAAAGTGCTCCGTACAGAGGGGGCTGGAAAGGACGGTGGCTCAGCAGGAAGAGCACTGCCACCTGGAGGAGGGGGTGCTCTGTGGAGATGGCAGTGTCTGAGCCCATGTGAAGGTGGGACCTGGACAGAGGAAGAGAAGGGCGTGCCAGGAAGGGGAGAGCATGAGCCAAGGCACATAAGGGCCAGCAAAGGCAGGTGGTTGTCCGTGAGAACGCGGACACAGACGAGGGGCCCCAGGCACCTGCACCTCCACCAGGCTGGTGCCCAGGAGGGGGCGGCTGGTGTGGCTGTGCTTGTGCGATGGGAATCCTTGTGCAGCAGGCACCAAGCTAACGTCCTCCCGAGTTTGGGAGCTCCTGGCGGGTAGAGGGGAGTTGTGTGTCCCTGCACTGCCCAGCCTGGCACCTGAGCCACTGCAAGGAAGCCCCTCCTGTTCTCCACATGTCCCTTGTCATCCCTAGGTCAGCCTTTTAAGAGGGGCTCCCTGTCCTAAGCCCCTCCTCCATCACAGGCCCATGTTTAAGTATAAAACAATGTCCTTAAGGAAACCAAACTCAACTCCCCCAGCCCCTGTGGGCAGCTGGGAGGGGGTGTGGTGTCCTGGAGGGACAGAGAGGGAGTCAGGAAGGGGAAGTCCCGGGGCAGCTGTCTCCACCTCCCTAGAATTTCTCCCTCACTCAGGAGTGAACCTCTTCCCCGAGAGCCTGCTTGGTGTGTGTAAGATGCAGTTGGCTCCCTGTAACTCAAACAAAACCTGACCGCAGCTTGAGTACTGATTTTCCTCAACTCTTCATAATCTACAGGAGCTGGAGGGACTGGAAACCCAAGGTCTGTTCCTTTTTCCTTTGAGAAGCACTCAAGTGCCTTCCTACTGAGGGTGGTGGAGCTGAAGGGTTTTGGAGGTACCTTGTCCTTAGTCCCCAGGAGGCCTAGGAGCCTGCTTCCCAGGGGCGTGGTGAAAGGGATCCGGAGCCTTCTCAGACTCGAAGGCTCTGCCATCCCGAAGGCCTCACCTCTTAGCTCAGCTGGCACTGTCCGCCTGAGCCTGAGAATGGTGTGTGGTTGTTGCTCCCAGAGTCTCTGGACAGCACTCTAGTTGCCCCGCCCTGTGGCTCTCCATCCTCACAGGATAGTGCAGAAGATGCTGCGGTTGCTGTGGTACCCACCTTCCACACGGGCCGTGATCCTGGTCGCCATGGCGGTCACCTTCTGCCCACCGTGGGCTGCAGAAGGGCCTCGGAGAGAGTTTTCAAGGTGAGGGCGTGCTGGTGGGTTCATGAGCCGCCATGTATCAGACCTGGAGATGCAAAATGATACTGAATGCCTGAAATCTCACCTTTCACTCAAGCTCACTGGATGCGGGTGTTTACATCTAGATGTAGTTTTTGTCTCCCAAGCTGGTGACGCTAAAGGGCAGAAGTCCTGCATTCTAGTTCCACGTGTGCCTTCAATTCTGCATGTGATCTCGGACAAGTTCCCTTTAGCAGCCCCAATCTCCCCTCTTTATAAGGATCTGGATAAGATCAGTGGCTTTCCTTTTTTCTCTTTCATTTTCCCTTCTCCCCACCCCAGCTGTACAACCGTGAAAACTGACAGAATCTTTATTTACAATCACCACAAACTAGAAACTACAGCTGATGAATGGATAACCAGTATGTGTTATACCCATACAATAGATCACAACTGAGCAAGAAAAAGAAGGAACGACAGATGCGACACCATTGGCAAATCTCAGGACATTCGGCTGAGGAGACTCAAAAGACTACATTCTGTATGATATCTATATATCTATATCTATATCTATATCTGTTTTAAATCTTCATCCAAAGATATGTTTTTATTGATTTTTAGAGAGGAAGGGGGAGAGAGAGGAAAAAAAACACATTGATGTGTAAAAGAAACATCCATCGGTTACTGCTATACACGCCCCAACCGGGGATCGAACCTGCAACCTGGGTATATGCCCTGACTGAGAACCAAACCCGCAACCTTTTTTTTTTTTGGTGTACAGGATGATGCTCCAACCAACTGAGCCACCTGGTCAGGACTAACTAGATTTTACTAAGGCTCAGAGATATTGAGAACTTGCCCGAGGTCACATAGCCAGTAACTGGCATAACTGAGATTTGAAATTACATACCCCTTGCTCTGACAGCTTGTTTCCTCCCAGGCAGTCAAGTGCAGCTCCTCAGCCCAGGCCTTGATCTGGCCAGAGCCGAAAGCTGGCAGGACTGCAGGGCGCAAGGGCAGCCAGAATCACTGGGCCTGGCTTCTCTAGTGTCCTCACCGAGGTTCTAGAAAATTGGTTTGGGCCCTTACTTTTTCTTGAAGACCAAGAACTTGTTGTTTTGCATGATGCATTCTCGATTGTTTGAGATCTGCTGAAAGATGGTCTTGTTGGTCTTTCCCTGGAAGAAAATGTTCTCCTGCACCAGAGCCTTGGTGCGGCCCCGCACTGCGATGCCGTAGGCCCGAAATGAATGGATCCGGTTCTTTATTACCTGGAAGAGGCAGACAGCTTGTCACACTGGTAGGGAGCTAGTGTTTCACCAGTTATAAAACGGAGGTAAGAGCATGCTGGGTTGGTGAGCAGTGAGCCATGGGAGCTCAGGGAAGGGATATCGAAGCAAATGGGGTGGGGGGAGAGGGAAGCAGGGAAGGCTTCCTGGAAGAGGTGATGGGTAAGCTATAGGAGTTTATCAGGTGCAGAGCAAGGTAGGGATGTTCCAGGAAGAAGAAAAAATGTGCAAAGGCCTGGCAGAGAGGGGAGGTGGTGCCAGAGGCCAAGGCCCATGGAAACCCAACTGAGGCAACAGCTTCCACAGCTCAGACTCAAAGCCAAGGACTTCTTTACTGCTTGCCTAAGTCACTAATCATGAAGCCACACAGCTGAAGAGGCCTTGGGATCATGATTCACACGGGCAGGGACGGGCTCAACTTTGAAAGCCTAGCACCCAGCACAGTGCTTTGCATAAAAAGTAAGCTCAGAGCTCACTGTCCCATTGGGAAACAGAAGAGCAAAGGAACACTTAAAAGCACCGTGTGAAGTGCTCTGTGAGGTAGGGGTGGGCATAAGCACCTTTGAGTCCAGAAAAGGGGTGCCTCAATAGCCTGGGGGCTCAGGGAGGGCTTCCTGAAAAAAGCCATAGCCAAGCTGTAGGACTGAGAGAGAAAAAGAGGGGGAAGTGTCCTGGGTCCACAGGGAATAGTGTGTGCAAAGGCCCCGAGGCAAGACTTCTTTCCTCATTAAGCACCTACCACATACCGGGTCCCGTGTGAGATTATTCTGTGAGCAGAAATCTAAAACAGCCCTGACCTTGGCCTGGAGACCCAGAAGATACCCCAGGGGGCACCCCCACCCTAGCTTCCTGCTGGTAACTCTGATTCACCCTTCAGGGTCCAGTTATATGTCCCCTCTTGTGAGAAGTCCCATCTTTGTCTTCCAGGCTGAGAAGGCAAGAGAGCTCTCCCAGGGTTGTGCCCTGTGTTGGCCCCACATGGGACACACACACACACACACACACACACACACACACACACACACACACACACACACACACACACACACACACACACACACACACACACACACACACACACACACACACACACACACACACACACACACACACACACACACACTCACCTTAGTGTCAGACCTGGGCAGCAGCTGCAGCCCGCTGCCCCGATTGCCAATGATGTCATTTTCAATGACGACGGTGCTGTCACCCTTGGTGATGATGCCGTGGCCTCTGTTGTCATAGATCCCATTGCCCCGGAGCTCTACCTTGCACTGGGCCTCGACCTTGACCCCACTCTGGCGGTTGCAGGAGATGCTGTTGTTAGCCACACGGGTGAGCTGGCTGCTCTGGGCTACAGTGATGCCTCTGTCCCCATTAGCGTGGATCACATTGGTGATGACGTGCAGCGCCTCACTGCTCTGGATGTAGAGT